AATCCAACGGAAAAGCCCGACTCGAGCGGAAAAGCCCTTCACACACGCCGACACGGTCGGCGGATTTCAAAACCGAATGTCCCGAAACTATACACAAAACATGTGGATTCACAACATCCGTTTTCAAAAAAACTTGCGAGCGCTGTCTTGTTCATTCTTAGATATACGACAAGTCGTTCAAACATTGTCACAGCATGTTGCTAAGCGAAGTTTTCGCGCCGCATGCGAGGACGCCGTCCACGTCGTCGGTGTTATCAGCATCGGCGACGTCACTGACCGTGCCGTCTTCGCTGTCAGCATCGTCGCCAGTATCGCTTGTATCATCATCGTCTCTGGAGTTGTCGACGTTGCCATGATACGGCGCCCGCCCAAGTCGCCGACTCGCACTGGAGTGCCCGCTGGGATGTGCCGAGCGGTCAGCGCCACCGCATGCGCGTCGGTCGCGCCAAACTAGCTGGCCGCTGCGCGCGCGTGAATACGCGGGTTGGCGCGGCCGAAAAAAACGCACCAGTCAGCGCCAAGCATTCATCGCAATCACCGTTGCAATTTGTTTGCAAACAAAGTTGCGGGCGGGCGGGTGGGATGGAAACGCGAGCAGTGGAGTGGACAACTTACTGCGAATATGAATTCATTGCGCCGCATAGAATGTACAGCCCATATTATGCAACCGGTACTGCCCCACCTAGATTGCGCAACAAAGATTGCACCACAGAGAATGCACCAAATATTTTGCACCACGTAGGTTTTCCCGTATCAAAAACTGTTAGCGCAGGGGTTCAGGTGGCACCTTTTTTCGTATTACAAATTACATTCGTTTCTGCTCCACCGTCCATCCGGGTTTTGAAATCATACCATGTCAGCCAGGCCAAAGTTCGGCCCCTCTTCTTTTTGAAAAAAATGGGTGCGTGCATTTGTCGATCAACAATCGTCAGTTTGCAATGACCCTTGGCAGAAAATGATACGAAATGCGCGCGCGTCGTCGCGCGCATGCCGAATTTCTCAAAAACTCTGGGCGTCTTGAGGATTTTACAATCGGTTGCAACATGGTTTCGCAACGAGGGTTTTCAAAACAAGCCTACGCCCGCGCCCTTGCGAATTCTTGAGAAAACCGTAGGTGTTTCAACATTTTCACAATGTGCTTCTAAACGGGCCTCTCGCCAGCGCATGTCGAAATCGCTCGAACGCCCTTGCGCGCGCGTTGTCGCAAAATCCCGTGTAACAGATTGGACGACCGACGTGTACACGCGCGCGTCGTCGCGCGCGCATGCCGAAATTTGCCAAAAAACCCCGGTTTCGGAATGATTTCAAAACGAGTGCCCGGAAAACATTTTAAACATATGGTTATGCAGCATCGGTTAACAATGCAAGCTTGCGCTCGCGGTCTTTTGCTGTATCTTAAGACAACCATCGGTTTTCCAGCTTGCCCACCACATTCTGTCAAACGGGCATCCTCGCGCCGTATGTCGAACTCATTCGAACGACCTTGCGCGCGTGCTGGGGGAGGGCACGACCCGTGTTAAATAATTCCACGCAGCCTACTCGCGCGCGTCGGCTGCGCGCGCATGTCAAACTCTTTCAAAAACCGTCATCGCCGACGCGAGGACATCGTCATCGTATCGGCGGGCGTGATCACCATCGACGCCGTCATTGGCATTTCCGTCGTCATCGACACCATCGTCACCATCATCGTTACTTTCATCATCGTGTCTACCGTTGTCGGCGTCGCTATGGTACCGCGCCCGCCGAAGTCACCGACTTGCATTAAGGTGCCCGCTGGGATATGCCGGGCTGTCAGCGCCACCGCTGCCGCGTCGGTCGCGCCACACTAGTTGGCCGCTGTGCGCGCGAGCGTGCGCGGGTTGGCGCGGCCGCAGAGATGCACCAGCCAGCACCAAGCATTCATCGCAATCGCCGCCAAATGGGGTGTGCAAACCAGATTGCGGGAGGGCGGGGAGGATGTTTGCACCACATAGGTTGCACCACAGTGATTGCACCCGATAGATTGCGCAACGTAGATAGCACAACAACGATTACATCACATAGATGCGGCACGTCGATTGCACCACATAGCGTGCAGCACGCAACTTTCTCCACATCGGTTTTACGGTACGCACTGCACCACATAGAATTGCAGACCACACGTTGAAGCACAGATATTGCAGACCACAAGGTACTTCAGATCAAGTGCGCACCATCTGTTTTCCTTGCTAGAAGCGGTACGGATCTACCAGTCGCCCCGACCGGAGTTATCGAACCCTCCTGGGGATGTGCGTTTTGTACACGACGTGGCCTCATCGTTTATCCTGATTTGGCAGGTCGACAACTCGTTCGCCCGCGTCGGATCACACTGTGCGCGCGGGCACGCTGGGATATAAAACTAATAGGTTCGCACGAATCCGTTGCAACAGAAGTAACCACGCCCGCGCGCGCATGCCGTCTCCCGCGCATACCGCAATCGACCAAAAACCGTTTTTTAGTTTTTCTGGTTGCGCTGATTTTTGACCGAACGTCGCCATTTTGGATGTTTGGCAACCGTTGGTTTTGCAACATGTTCTACCGAAACTACTCGACGCGGGTATCCACACGTGGGCATCCCATATTCCGGTCACGCCTCGTTGAGGAAGTCTGCTGGTGACAAACAAGTATATCATTGCGCCCTGTGTAAAGCCATTCGCAGCAGACTGAGAGGCCATTCACAGCAGCTCTTTGGTGGCATTGCCCGAAGGGAAAATGTGTTTTTTGGAGTGTTCGTGGAGGAAGCCTTTGGGACCTCCTGAGCGAAGTGAACCCCAAGCCCCCTCTTTAGAAATCGTGGGGTGGCGGGGAAGGGCTCTCACATGGCATCCGAACCTCGCAACTGAAGCAACAATCCTCAGTCCTCTACGCGTGTTCCTTTTCCTCCTGCTCCTGCTCCTGCTCCTGCTCCTCCTCCTCCGCCTCCTCCTCATCCTCCTCCACCATTCCTTTGCCTTATACATAACTTCTCCTTGTCCCACCCCGAGGCTAATTTTTAGGGCGGCCCGGGCGTTTCACTTGAGACTTCCTCACCACTTATGATTGTGATGCTTAACAAATGGCAGCAGTTTCACAGATGAAGGGCGGGTGGTTTTCAAAATGTGGCTCTCGCCCTCGCGCCGCGCACATTCGCTTCCAACATCTGCAGGAGTTTCACGGGTTGAGGGCGGGTGGTTTTCAAAATGCGGTTTTCGCTTCTGCGTTGCGCACATTCGTTTTGAGAATTGGCCAAAGTTTCGCGGAGTGAGGGCGGGTCGTTTTCAAAATGTGGCTCTCGGCTCAGCGCCGCGCACATTCGTTTTAGACATTTGCAAGAGTTTCACGGATTGAGGGTGGCTGGTTTTCGAAATGTGGTTCTCGCTTTAAAGCCGCGCGCATTCACTTGAGACATTTGCAAGAGCTTCGCGGATTGAGGGCGGGTGGCTTTCAAAATGTGATTTTCGCCTCAGCGCCGCGCTCATTCGTTTTAGAAACTCTGCAAGAGTTTCACGGATTGAGGCCGGGTCGTTTTCAAAATGCGGTTGTCGTTTTATGTGTTGCGCACATTCATTTTGACATTTTGCAAGAGTTTGGCGGATTGAGGGCGGAACGTTTTCAAAATGTGGTTCTGGCTTGAGCACCGCGCACATTCTTATAAACATTGCAAGAGGTTCACAGGTTGGGTGTGGATGATTTTCAAAATGCGATTCTCGCGTCAGCGCCGCGCACATTCGTTTTGATCACTTGCAAGAGCTTCATGGATTGAGGGCGGGCCGTTTTCAACATGTGTTTCTTCCTTTAGCGTCGCGCACATTAATTTTGAAAATTTGTGAGAAATTCGCGGGTTCCCGTGATCAACGTACCAGAAATAGCGTCTTAGAAGAATTCAGGATTGTGCGGGTGCAATTGTTATTGTCAAAACGCCACATATAGCGTGCAGGTGATGATTTTGATGTGCACGGTATTCGGGGGTCGTATAGAGTGCATGTTGAAAAAGGAATGCACTCTATACTATACGCGGTTGTGTCGCGTTCAGAGTGCACGTCCGATGGTTGAGACAGACACGTTTAGCATGCAATGTCTCAGCAAGAAAACGTTTAGAGTGCACCTGTGTTTTCAGAATGTCGATCTGGCTCAGCAGTCCCTGGAACCAAGCTTGGCCTTTCGGCCTCCGCAGGCCCGAGCTCCTTCTGCCTCCTCCTTCTCCTCCTCTTCCTTCTCCGCCTCCTCTTCCTTCTCCTCCTCCCCCTCCTCCTCCTCCTCCTCTTCCTCCTCCCCTCCCCTCCTCCTCCTCCCCCTCCCCGTCCTCCTCCTCCTCCTCCTCTTCCTCTTCCTCCCCCTCCTCCTCCTGCTCCTCCTGCTCCTCCTTCACCCCCCGACGGGCGCCATACGAGCATGTCGGGGGTGCAGGGGACGGAGTGGAGAGGTGAACCGAATAGTAATCTTATAGAGTGCACGTGGCAATGTAAAAATATCGCCAACGTAAGAATGTTTAGCGTGCACGTCCGCTTGCATCATTGACACGTATAGCGTGCACGCGCGTTTTAGTCGGTGGCCAAAGTGGTTTTGACCGGGGGAGCTGGCGCATAGCGTGCACGATAATCGAGACTTTTTTTTTGTCCGTGAAGGGGGTCGTGCACGGTATGTGTGGCGTTCTGACCGTATGGTGATTTGGGGTGTTGAAATCAAAAAATGGCGTTCTGGGGCGATTCCGGATCGTCAAGACGCAGCAGTCAGGTTGATTCGTGGCGTTGAAATCCAGAGAACATTGTTTTGGTATGTTTCAGGATCTTCAAACGGTTGTCTTCCAACGAGGCAGTTCCCTCAATGCAAATGAACCAGTGTAGGGGCCTATGCAGGGGGAGCTTGGAGGGGAGGTTGATTCCAACATCGTTGATGACTCTTGGGTTTACACTGGTCCTCCTCCTCCTCCCTCCTCCCTCCTGCCCGTTTCGCTGCTCTCGCTCCCGGGGTGTTCTCCCCACGGCGGCCCGGCGCCCGCGAAGGCCCAGATGTTGGACAGCCTCCCGGCCACGACGTCACTGAGGCGCCCGGCCTCGGAGGAGTACAGCAGCGTGCAGGGCGAAGAGTCACGGGTGCCGGGGCTTGTGAGATCTCGGGAAGGCGATTGGAGAGAATTGTAGCTGGCCTTCCGTTGGGGGGGGGGCCTCGTCGCCACGGCTGAGCGCGGCTCGGAAAATTGGTCGACTTCGGCGTTGGGAGGGGCCTGGGGGGTTGGACAAGCCAGGTGCGCGCGCGCCACATCTGACATCCCACCTTTTAAAATACCCCCTCCGAATTGCGCTTTGTCTTCTTCCCGACTCGCCAACCCAGTTGTTGAATCAGTCCTTGCCCTCGTCCCTCGTCACAGTCCTCGCCGTCGTTCCTCTCGTCCTGAACCTATTCCCCCATCCACCCTTCTCCCGAGTACCTCCAAGTACCCTTGTGAGACTGCATGTCAGAAGCCTTCTGCATTCACCGAGCAAGGTGCCTGCTCGCAAACGTCCCAAAGACACATTTCTGCATCGATGTAGTATATCGTAGATCCCGCGCGGCGGATCCAGGCCATTTGCGAGTAGTTAGCCTGCGAGTGGTGGAACGCGCTTGTCTATACATGCTCGAGAATACACCGCACTCACATCTATACCCCTGGGTGGGTGTATGTGCGGCCGTTTTTGCGCTGTCATGTGCGCGCATGTGCGCGGCATGTGCCAGTCATGTGCCAGGCCTGTGCGGCCCTTCTTGGATGGACTTCCTACTGTGCACGTCGTGCCCGGGCATGTGCGGGGGCATGTGCGTTGTGCTTTGGTGTATCCATCATACGCACATGCACGCACAGTCCGACGCACATGCGCGCACATGCCTGCACATGCGGGAGGTGTTCGAGAATCGCAGATCTGTCATCGGCACATGCGCGCACATGCCTGTGCAATCTCTCTTCGGGAGGCCGCGCGGGCCCGCACATGCACGCACATGCGGTGAAGCGCGCGGGCGCACATGCGTGCACATCCCAATGCACATGCACGCTCATGCCCTAGGATCTGTCTGGGACCCTTATGCCTCCAATGCCTCCTGGCCTTCGCAGAGCTAACCTGGGGCGTGCCAGGGCTTCCTGAAAGAGTTTGTTGTGCGTTTAGACTCGCCCGCTGCTGGCGGGGGCGGTTCTTCGCCCGGTTTGTGAGCTGGCGGCGGCGTGCCCTCCTAGTAAAAATCTCGCCCGCGCGCCTTCTCAGCTCGGCCGGAGAAGCAGGGGGGGGGGGAGGTGGAGGGGGGGGCGAGGATGGGGGGGCGGAGGAGGCGGACGCCCCCGGCTTGGCCGGCCCGCCCGCTTGTTCGGTTCGGCCAGACGAGAAGGAGGAGGAAGAGGAGGAGGATGAGGAGGAGGAGGAGGAGGTGAGAGTCGCGAGGATGTCTCAGGCGAAAATGGCTTGACGGCCCGAGCTCAGGGAATCTCGGAATCGCTGGCCTGGCTCGGCCACTGGCGAGGTCGGCCTGTGCGAATACTGTGCGTACCTGTGCGGGGCATGTGCGGGACGTGCAAGAATGCCGGGGCCGGCGTTCGTCTCCGGGCGCCAGCGCGTTCGCGTCCGCGCGCAAGCCGCGCGCGGACGAGCGTTCGCTTGATTGCGCGGCGCCGACAGACGGGGCGCCCCGCTCACGCTCCGCACAGGCGCGCGCAGCGCTCGCCCTGCCCGCGTTCGTCAGCAGGAGCGGCACGCCGGAACAATGCTGGAACGACCAGGTGCAAAAGGCATTACTGCACCACCTTCACAAGGCTTTGCGCGAGGTCGTGGGGCAGCACCGATCTTACGAATGGGTCAGCCACTGTCTCCTGAGACGTCCTCGCAACCCTGATCTCAATGATGCCCTGCTCGATATGTCTCGGCCCCTTTCGCCTGAAACATCCTCGGTCTTCTGGGTTCCGAGACGCCCTGAGCTGAGGTGGTTAGACCACTTTCGCTTTAGAATCCTCGCCCGAGATGCCCTGAGTTGAGGTGTTCAGGCCACTTTCGCCTGAGGCATCCTCACAACTATGACCTCAATGATGCCCTGCTCCATAGTGTCTCGGCCTTTTTCGCCTGAGACCCTCGCAACTCTGGGTTCCGAGATGCCCTGAGCAGGTGGTCGGGCCACTCCTGCCTGAGACATCCTCGCAACTCTGGGTTCCGAGACGCCCTGGGCTGAGGTGGTCAGACCATTCTCGCCAGAGACATCCTCGCAACTCGGACCTCAGAGATCTCTTGCCCCATGGTGGTCAGGCCACTTTCGCCTGAGACATCCTCACAACTCAGACCTCGGAGGTGTCCTGCCCCATGGTGGTCTGGTCCCCTTGACCAGCGACATCCTCGCCACTCTGGTTTCCAAGATGCCTTGCCCCATGGTGGTCCGGCCACGCTTGCCTGAGACATCCTCGCATGTCTGGGTTGCGAAATGCTCCGAGTTCAGGTGGTCAGGCCACTATCGCCTGCGACATCTCTGCGGCATGTGCTGGCATGTGCGTCTATGCTTTCAGAGTTTTGCTTGACCGTGCATTCGAGTGTGCGTCGGACGGTGTGGCATGTGCGCGCATGTGCGGCAATGCTGTTAAGGCTTTTGTATATTTGCATGGGCATGTGCAGGCGACTGTGCGGCATGTGCCTGCATGTGCGGCCCCTTCCGGACCACAATTTCAAAGTGAGCACTATAGAAGTGAGCGCTATAGAAGTGAGTCCGGTGTACGTCTCGGAACGCTAGACCGAAGCCCGAGCAACAGCCGAAAGGCACACACACACACACACACACACGTGCGCTGCTCTGCTCCAGCCGCGCGTGCGTGCTGCTGTGCACCCGCCGTGCCCCGTGAGGCATTGTTCCAAGGATCCTCCGCAGCGGGACCTCCTTTGGCCATCCACTCTTTCAGCAGGCGGTCGCAAACATGGATCGCAGGGGGCGCGGATTAGCGACGGGTCCCGGTTCTATGGGAAATCGCGGATTTTGCTCCGCCGAGCAAGGCGGCACCGGCCGCATTTTGGGGAGGGCACATCCCCCGATCCATGGATTTGGCGACCGCGCGCCAAATCCATGGATCACTAATCCATGTGAGCGCCCCCGATCCTTGGGCCATCCACTCCTTCAGTTTAGTGCTATAGGACTTGGCATCGCTCTGACGTCGGACGTGTGCATATTTTCTTCGGAGAGGGCCATGGAGGAGCATCTGGGATCATCCTGCCAACAGACAAACGCGCGAAACCGAAAAATGCAGGGGGAATTGACGTCCGAGCGATGGCAAGAGGATGTGGACGGAGCCACGTTTGGGGTGTTTTGCTCAGGACATCCGCAGAATTGTCCGTGGCCCCCAGTTCCGCTTGGTTTGACCGGTCTGGCCCAGCTTGGCAGGGTGCCCCGCTTGAGAGACATCCTCAGACTCAGAGTGTGCCCGGTTTAGGGCCAGTTCCGCTTGAGACGTCCTTGCAGTTTGCTTGGCTTGGCCTGGCTTGGTGCCAGTTTCGCTTGAGGCGTCATTCGATTTGCCTTGTCACGTTCATTCGGCGTCAGCTGCAACCTTCCCAGTGCATCAATCTCGCCTTTTGCTATCACGAAGTGGCCTGTCTCGGTCCCGATAAAGATCTCGTTGCGGAAACCATTGGCGCTTATCTTCATGCTGTCATCGAAACGCTTGGAGTCTCGAAGATGCTGCACGACTGGAGCCCATAACTTTGAAATGTAACGTGGACGCACGCGGACATCATCGGGCATATCAGGTCGAATCCGCAGGGGGTGGATCTTCTGACCCCTGGCGTCGGTCCACTTAACCTACTGGGCAATGAACCAATTCTTGAGATCTTTGGCAAGCTTGGCGGACACGACATGAACTGAGAAGCTCTGGCTGGTCTTGGCGAACTTTGCGGTGGTGCCAGCGAGCAAATGTTGCGGGCATGAGGCCACGAGGTGGTCCCACGTCGCACGGCGAGTGACCTCCAAAAAGACGCGAGTGTACCCAGAAATCCGCAGACGTCCAGGTTCGATTTGCTGATGGTCGAGCGATCCGAAGCTGCCAGCCACGCGCATCCTCTTGTATCCTGCTGCGGTCGAGGCTGTCGAAGAGGGCATCTGCGATTGCATTTCATCCATGTGCTTCCCCGATGCCTGCTGCTTGGCCTGAAGTTCCTGCACAGTGACCTCGAATGCGGTCAGGCGTCCATCAATCTTCTTCACTTGGCTGGTGAGTGCTTTGCTCGTCTCGTCCACTCTCGCCGTGAGCGCCATGAGCTGGCCCGAAACAAAGGAGGAGCACCAGGCAGGAGCAGCGTCGCCCATGACTACACACAGAGATTGGGACTGGGTGTGTCTTCACGAGAGTGGGCTCGAAATCGAAAAGGAGGAAGGTTTGAGCCTTGAGCCAAAATGGCTACGGATTTCGCCGCGGCGCGTCTGTGAGCTGGGATTGGGCTGGGTCGACGCGCACCTCGCTTGTGATTCTTTCGCGCCGCCTTGCCCCAGAACTCCCGGGGCCAGGTGGCGCGCAATAATGCAATTCGATTTGCGTTTCGCTGCGGCGCGGTGCGGTTGTGAGCCAGGGTTGAGCCTGGTCGAAACGTAACTCGACGTTGATTCTTGCGCGCCGCTTTGCTCTGGAGCTCCCGGAGCAAGGCGGCGCGCCAGAACCCCGCCAGAAACACGCCAGCACCACGCCCGAACCACGCCAGATCAGCATCCTGGCGCCGCGGTTGCGAGGATGTCTCCAGTGGCGGCGCCGCGGCACGGGGGGGGGGGTAGGTGGCGGGGCAGGCCGGAGGGGGAAACCCACTGGTTTCGGGAGCTCGCGCGATCTTATCGGGGGGGGGCCACCTGTTCGCGCACGTGTCGTGAGATTTCCCTATGGCAAGCGAACTTGGAAAGCGCTCGCTCGTCTATTTACATGCCTGTCCCCCCGTAGGAATGTGGGTCTCTTGGGGCCTCTCCTGGAGCCTGCCGAAGGCGTCTCTGGAGCGTGCTGGGACCTCTCTGGGGCTTCTTGGGGGCATGCTTTGGGCCTCCCAGGGGGCCCTCTGGGGTCATCCCTGGAGTATCCCCAGGCCTCAGAGGCATCTCTGAAGGGAAAAAGCGGGATCTTCCACCAAACATTGTATGGTTCCCCGTCTGTTTTGAATAGATTTTGGCCTCCTGGAGGCCTCTTCGGGTAATCTTGAACTGTCTTGAGCCGCCTGGGAGCGCTACGGGGGCCCCCGTCCCCCCATGGGGGTTTGAGGTCCCTGGCTGGGCTGGGAGCCTTCGTGGAGCGCCTTGCGAGCGTGGTGGGCCGTCAGGAAGAGACCGCAGGCATCTGGGAGTTGTTTTCTGGCGTTGGGGCCTAAAAAATATTGGAACATGGAACAACAAGGGACTCTTGGGTCCCTCTTGGGGGCCGTCTGGGAACTCTTGGAGCGTCTGGGGAGCGTGTTAGACAGCCACGGGCGTCTGGGAGTAACTTCCCAGGGCCCCAGGAGCGCCCTGAGAGCTCCGAGCCGCCTCTGGGGCACCCCTGGGCCCCCCGGACCCGCCGTGCGCCATCGGGCCCTAGGCCCCGGGCCCCCAGGCCTCGTAGACGGGGAGTCTGTATGTGTATATCTATGTACACATACGAGAGTGGAAGCGTGGATTAAATCCACGGAGCTACGTGAGTCGAGGTTTGCCGACGCGCGCTTCTGTCTCCGGCGCAAATGCCAGCAAGCTGCGGCGTGCGATCGACAACCAACGTGGAACCGATGTGTTTCCCGAGACGTCCTCATAACCGCGGCGCCGCCGCTCGAGACAACCTCTCAACCGCGGCGCCGCCGCTCGACACATCCTCACAATATCGGCGCCGCCGTTCGAGGCATCCTTTCAACAGCGGCGCCGCCGCTCGAGGCATCCTCACAATCGCGGCGCCGCCGCTCGAGTCATCCTAGCAACCGCGTCGCCGGAGCGGGGGGGTGGGGTTTGAACTCCCTTCCCCTCTAGAGAGGGGGGGATTCGATTTCCCCCCCTGGGATCCGAGGGGAGGTGCGGTGGGGAGGGGTTCGAACCTCCCCCCCCTCCACGCGCTCACATAAGGCGCTCTTTCAAATCGACCTAGGTCGGGCATGTCCCCTACAGGTGGATTCTGGATGACAAATTTTAAAAATACCCTACAAATTTTCCAAAATGGTGAAACATCTTAAAAATCGTCCCCAGACTATTTGTTACTTTTTTTGAACATTCCACGTTTAGAGGGACAGGTCCGACATAAAAATAGACAGATGATGACACCACCCTTACTCCTCGGCAGAGAGCTCCCTCCCATCAGCTCTCCGTCGTTCGCCGCTGGCCAGTCCTGCCGGCCTGTCTCTTATCATGCAGGAGGGGAAAAACCACACAGACACAATGAATCGTCGATCCCCAGCGAAACATGGAAACATATGAGAAGCGGGGGGCAGGACGAGAATCCAAGAAATATAGGAAAATATTCGAAATCCTGTTATTTGTGTCTATTTCTTTGTGCGTCCCTGGGCCCCTGTTAATCATCCTGGTCAAGCAATCGGACGACTGGCAGCAAGCTGCAGCTCAGCGCCATGCAGAACGGTGCGCGAGATGCCTTGGAGTTCAGCATACCGCCTGTCCATCGTACTTCGGAGAAACCGTGGGGACACTCTTCATGTGGGCCATCTGCGAGGAACGACTCCCATGGAGGACGCAAGTGTCGCACACCCGCGCCTGTCAACCTTAGGATCGCATCGCAGTTGCCTTGTCATCGAAGAAGATCTTTGCAGAAGTCGTCAAGCATCTCCCAGTGCACGCAGTGGTCGTTGAATCGAAAAGGAAAAAACCAAGAGCCCCACTGAAGGCCCACAGGACGGCCCAGGAGAGCCCCAAGATACCCCAGGGACACCAGAAATTGATCACGAGGACCCCACGAGGGCAAGATGCTGCCGGAGGCCTCTCCGGGAACATCTCGCCGACGACGGCGATGAGAGCGACGTTGGTGACCACAGTGGTAATAAGGGTGGTGATGGATGAGACGAAGGCTGTGACGACCTGAGCGGTTAGCTTGGTGGTTTCCATGATGATGGCGGTGATGAGGATGAGGGGCAAGCGAATGGAGAGAATCATTCGGTTGCGGACGATGATTGTGATACTGACGACGCGCGACTGTGACGCCGCCGCATCACCAGCAGCAGTGAACCGATGATGCCAGCCATGATGGCGGTGTTGTTGATGATGATTTGACACTTGTGCCGGACATGACGCATCTGAATATCAACATCAGCGCGCTCCCGCCCACGCGAGGGGACGAGGAGGAAGGCAAGGATTGAGGAGGAGAAGATGAGGAGGGAGAACGAGGAGGAAAAGGGGGAGGAGGAGGAGGAGGAGTAAGAAGAGGAGGGGGGGGAGGAGGAGGAGGAGGAGGAGGAGGAGGAGAAGGAGGAGGAGTTGGATGACTTGATGACTTGGATGATGATGATGATGATGATGATGATGATGATGATGATGATGATGATGATGATGATGATGATGATGATGATGATGATGCTGATGCTGATGCTGATGCTGATGCTGATGCTGATGCTGATGCTGATGCTGATGCTGATGCTGATACTGGTGTGTGGTGGTGGTGGTGGTGGTGGTGGTGGTGGTGGTGTGGTGGTGGTGGTGGTGGGAGGAGGAGAGGAGGAGGAGGAGGAGGAGGAGGAGGAGGAAGAGGGGGAGGAGGGGAGGAGGAGGCAGGAGGAGAGGAGGAGGAGGAGGAGGAGGAGGAGGAGGAGGAGGAGGAGGAGGAGGAGGAGGAGGAGAAGGAGCAGGAGGACGACGACGACGCGGACGTTCGATCCTCGATCCTCGCGCTACTCCCCCCAACTTTGGTGGGGAACAGCGTCCCCGCTTGCCTGGTTGCACGTCGCGATCTCGAGGCGGTCTTCGCGGGGACGATGGGAGTAGGAGGAGGACAAGGAGGAGGAGGAGGAGGAGGAGGAGGAGGAAGAGCAGGAGAAGGAGGGGGGAGTGGCTTCTCACTCCTCTTTTCTCCCCTCTCCTCCCTCCCCCCTCTCCCCTCTCTCCGCTGCCGAGCGGGGTGCTCCTGCGGATCTTTCCCTCGTGCCCAGCACCACTTCGCTCTGCTTCGCGATCGACTCTCCCTCCTGGCTCCGACTCCTCCTCCGCTGGAAAGCGGAGCCTCAAGCCTCGAGTCGGACGTGTCCCTGGGCCTGGCGAGGGTCCCCAGTGGCCGACGGTGACAAAAATCTGCCGTCCCGAGTCTGTGCACGACGCGAGCATGCTTGGGTCTGCTTCGCGATTGTGAGCGTTTTTTGTCCGGCGTTTCGACATTGGGCGGAAAGGGTCAGGCGTTCGCAAACATGGATCAAGGGGGCGTGCATTGGCGACGGGTCCCGTTTCCGTGGGAAATCGCTGATTTCCGCCGCTGAACGAGGCGGCACCGGCCGCATTTCTGGGAGGGCACCTCCCCCGTGTTTGCGCGCCCCCGGCATTGGGCGGAAAGGGGGGGGGGCTCTGCTCCGGAACTCTGCTTAGCGTGATTGTTCGGGGCCGTGCGTCCTATGGGGAAGGCTCCACTGCTCGAAACGAGCGCCAAAAGCAGCCAAGATCTACTTCGGGGGGGCGGTTGGGGGCCCGCGCCGATCGGCAAAACAATGAATCAAAAAACTATCACGATCGACTCCGCCCCCTCCCAGCCCTGCCTTCTCCTCTGGAACGCGGAGCCTCAAGCCCACATCCCAAGCAACTCATGGCGCCAACATTGCAGAGCGGCTCTCGTTCGGAAAACACTGGGATGGACCCGGATGGTCCTGGAGAATTTCGCTCTGGATATCGGAGCGACATTCGTGCGGATTTTTCGTTGGCTAGGAATGAAGACTACAAAATATCCACGGGACATTCACCTTGTTTTTCGCTCGCCGGTTCGGGGTTCTGTGTGGACGGAGATCCACGCAAAAATCCGTTGCAGTATTCTTGGCCTCCTAGATGAGGTCGGCGTAGATGGGGTCGGAGGGTCGCGCCGCATCGCCGAGGCATCGCCGATGCGGCTCGATGTAGCGCCCGATTTGCTTCACGCCGAAGGCGCCGATGCATCGCCGACGTCGACGATGCATCGCCAGTGCATCGCCGATGCATCGCCGATGCATCGGCGATGCGGCGCGATCCTCCGGCTCCATTCACTCCGACCCCATCCAGGATGCCTCTGGGCACGTCTGCCAGGTCGGTGCAGTGACGCACTGGGGGCTGCAAGAGCGGCCACCCCCTCGGGGGGTCCGCCTCGCCTCGCCCTTTGCCCAGTCCCCCCGCGGAGGAGGGCAGCCGTGCAGGCCCACCAGGATCCTCCCCCCCCCCCTGCACCCTGCCATTAAGTCGGGTACGTCCCTCCACAGGGATATTCAAAAATAGTAAAAAAATAGTCTGGGGACGATGTTTCGACTATTTCTGGTCATGTTTGAGGTGTTTGGGGTATATTCTATCTTTCCTCCAAAATCTGCCTGTAGGAGGACATGCCCGACCTAACCCTATCAGTAAGTCGGGCACGTCCCTGTACAAGAGGGATATGCAGAAGTAGTCAAGAAGTTTCTGGGGACGATGTTTCTATACTTTGTTAACCATTTGTGAATATATGTTGGCTATTTTGTATGTTCCCTCCAAAATCCGCCTGTGGAGGGACATGCCCGACCTGACCCGACCAGGAAGGGCGCATGCAGTCTGTGGGTGCTCGAGTCCCGTTCCCACCATTTGCCAGCCTGGAGTGTGCCTTTAAGCCCATGTTTGGCATCGCCTTGCCTCGGAGCTGACCTCGACGATTCCCGCAGTCTTTCCGAGTGCACCTCCCTAAGATTGTCATCCCCTTGGGGCTGCCGATCTCAGGGATAGGGATCAGTTCGAGGCTGGTCACCACCCCCTCCTCTACCTCCGCTCCCAGAGGCAGAGGCAGCCCGCCTCGTCGTGGCGAGGCACGAGCACTACGGGCACGCCGCGGGGGGCTGGGGAGGGGCGCTCGAGGGCGCGCGGGGGTTGCCACCGTGCCAAGGGGGGCCGGCCATGGATAGGGGAACGAAGAATGGCAGAAACATGAAGACTCGGAGGTCCGCACAGATTTCTCGGATCCGCGCTGGACCTCCCTGGCGGCGCCTCCAGCGCCGCCCCTGGCGCGCTCCGCGCGCCGGGGAGGGGGGTCCAGTGCCAATCCGAGAAATTCGCGCGGACCTCCGAGTTTTCATGCTTGTGTTATTCTTCGATCCCCTATCCATGGCCGCGGCCACGGCCCCGCCGAGGTACGGTGGGGACGGTGGTTTCGGAATGTGCTCACGATGCCTCACACCTCAGACGATTCCTTATCTGATGATGAGGAGGGCGGCGGTGATATCCATTGCCAAGCCTCGATCGATGCTCCACCGAAATCAGCGCCCCGCCTGAGACATCCTCACAATATGCTCTCCAAGCGAAGGATGTTGGGACAGAAAACAAGCAAACCGCTTGAGACATCCCCACAAATCGGCCGCGAACGGGACCGTGCAATACCCCTCGGCGGCCCCCCGTAAGGGTGCCGAAACCAGCGCCCCGCCTGAGACTTCCTCACAATTTGCTCTCCAAGCGAAGGATATTGGGACAGAAAACAGGCAAATCGCTTAAGACATCCCAACACAACGGCCGCGAACGGGACCGTGCAATACCCGTCGGCGGCTCCCCTGAGGGGTGCTGAAACTGGCGCCCCGCCTGAGACATCCTCACAATCTGCTGTGTGTTGAGTAAGTCAGACCAATGAGAAGGTTTGGGTATGTGTAAGTCTGTGTATGAGTAAGTTTGTAAATGAGTGAGTCTGGGTATGAGTAAGTCTGTGTATGCGTAAGTCTAGGTAGGAGGAGGATGAGGAGGAGGAAGAGAAGAAGAGGAATGAGGAGTAGGATGCGTCCAAGTAATAACGATAACCCCATCTTAGGATATGGGGAATAACAAGGACCCCATCTTAGGATATGGGCAGTACCAAGAACCCCATCCTTAGGATATGTGGATCAACAACAGCACCACCACCAACAACACCAACAACCGTCATTTCACGTGCCAATCAATACGTATATCCCAAACCCTCGGTATCCGCCCTCGTCGTCTTCGATCGTGCCCCCTTGGGGGGTATATCTTCCTTGCCTGCGACGTGCATGTAGTGCAGCCCCCAAAACAAGGGAAGAGAAGACGGGTGGAAGGGGGAGGGAGAAGAATGGCGCACGAGAGAAATTTGCAGGAGGGGGGTGAGGAGCAGAAAACAAATGGTAATTATAACCAGACGGACAGATCGGGTGAGTAGACCCATAGCGGGCAGGTCGGGAAGGCGGACCCAGGCGACCAGGTCGAGCAGGCGGGTTGCTGAAGCGCTGGTCCTGCATGCACCGAGAGGAAGTCTCGAGCGATAGCGCGATTCACAAGTAAATCGTGAGAAGAGCAAAAGCGAGAGCGTGATTCCTGAGCGCCGAGGGCGCATCGTCTAAATAAATTGCGAGGAAGTCCCTCGCCAGAGCGCGAGTCGTATACAAATTGTGTGGATGTCCCGCGCGAGAGCGCGATTTGGGAATAAACTGTGAGGAAGTATCAGGCGGGAGCAGCAGTTGTTGTAAACGGGGGGCCAACACCACAGTTTGAGCCCCGGCGATTGTCCCTGATAAAAACAGGGTGCGAGCCCCTGGGGAAGCATTTCAATTGAAAAACAATGGTCACCGGAGGGGGGATCAGCAACAGTTGTCACTCAGTAGTGAGAGGTCAAAACAACAATAACAATAAACAGTACAACAACATCAACACAGCAGCAGCAGCACCACCATCAACAACAATAATAAACAAACACACCAACAAACAAGCAAGCAAGCAAGCACACAAACAGACAAACACATAAAAAACAATAACAATAACCTGCATGGCGGAACCCACTTCAACCACGCACCCGGGACAGTGAAAAACCGTTCGGCCCCCTCACTCTGATAAGGACTCCCCCCATTCCGGTGAAACTAGAACGCATCCAGCACCCGGAGGCGTTCTCCTGGCACTCTGAGGGGGAGAGGAGGAGGAGGAGGAGAATAAGGAAAAGGGAAAGGAGAGAGGAGGAGGAGGAGGAGGAGGAGGACGAGGAGGTGGAGGAGGAGGAGGACAGGAGAACTTTGGTCGATAAGGCCTTGCGGCTGGTGCCGCCGACCTTGAGGACGACGACGACGACGACGACGAGGGATGAGGAGGACGACGAGGACGAGGAAGAATAGGCAGTGAGATGGTAGGAGTGTGACACGGAATAAGACTAAGATGAGGTGGGCAGTGATTTCTTGTAGGGAGCATGTTAGCAGTTTCTTGGGAGGTCCATGGGAGCGGTGTGTGGCTCTCTGAGAGCATGTTGGAGGCCTCGTGGGGTCGCTGGGACGTCACTTGTGAGGACTCTTGGGGCCTCCTGGCGAGACGGAGCACGCGGCTGCAAAGCTCTCGGAGACGCTTTGGGAGGCCTTCGGGGGTGAGCTCTTGGCGACGACGACGACGACGACGACGACGACGACGACGACGACGCTGATGTTTGTGAGAGTCTGTGTGGTTTCTTTTCGGAGCGCTCTCGGAGGCCTCTGGGGGGCAGTTGGGGGGGCCCCTTGGGAGCATTTTAGAGGCCTCGTGTGAGCCTCTCGGGAGCCTCTTGGGAGCCTCTTGGGGCTTCCTGGGGCTCTCTTGGGGGTCTCTTGGAGCCTCTTGGGGGACTTCTGGGGGCCTCTTGGGGCCTTTTGGTAGCCTCTCGGGGACGAGGGATCGAAATGTCAGTTTGGTTCTCCTGTCTCTGCATTCTCTTGGAGCCTTTTTGGGGGCCTCGTTGGCCGTCTTCCAGGCGTCTTGGGCCGTTTTAGGAGCCTCATTGGCCCGTTTAGGGATTCTCTTGGTGGCCTCTTGGGGCGATCGTTGGAGCCTCTTGGGCTGTTTTGGAGCGTCAAGAAGCTGGAATGGCGAGAACGATTAAGTCCTTGAAGAACTTAAGGAACATCCATGAATTTTGCCTCTTGGGGATCTCTTAGAAGTGCTGTTCGAGGCCACTTAGGGTGTCTTCCAGCTCTCTGGGGCCGTCTGGAGGCCGTAAAGACGTCTTGGACGCATCGTTCGGCGATTCGGGGTCCTCGTGGACCATCATGGGCGCCTCTTGGAGCAATGTATTGGCTCGTCTTGGGACTTTTTTGGGCCCCGGGCCTCCCCAGAGCGGAGTGGCATTCTCACCCGGGACCCCCCCCCCGGCAACCCCACCCCGGCACATCTCCCCGGGACCCCCCCTTGGGACACCTCCCTGGACCCCCCCCCCCCCCCTTGGCGGGGAAGGGATCAAAGGGAATGGGTTTCGCGTTGCTCAGCTTCGCTTCGGCTGGCGCGCTTGAGGAGAAGGGCCCAGGGAAAGAGGAGAGGGCCCATGGAAAGGAGAGGGCGGCGACGGGCCCAGGGAAAGATAGCGGCGACGACGACGGCGACGACGACGACGACGAAGTCGACGAAGACGAGTCAAACAACGACGACGACGTCGACGAAGGGCAGTCAAACGGAACAGCCTCTTCCACACGCTGGCAGGGTCGGCAGAGTAAGTTTGGCGGTTTTGCGCGGTCTTGAAGATCTCGCTCTGTTACATCCGCCCCCGCGGGTCATTTATTTCCGTGTCGGTGCTAACGATGACACGGAGGGAATTCTTTAATGGCCACTCCGGTTACCCGTCGATGCCCAGGCCCCAATTTGCTTTGTGGCGCCTTCCTGCTTCAAGAGTCGAGCGGTGTCCCCTCCTCCCTCCCCTGCGGAGGCCGAGAGGGGGACCCAATCTGCTCCAAACGCCTTTGTACATCATGCTTCGACCCACTTCTTCCGACCGACAGGTATTGAAACAAATGGCACGCGTGCCCTGGCTCTTGCACCACAGAGCTGCGAGGGACAGGAGGCGTTCGCCTCCTTTCTCCAGGAGTTCCTTCTGTGCCTGGGGGGGGAGGACGAACGACGAACGAACGACGACGACGAGCGAAAGTAAAGAGGCCCAAGCTCTAGAACACTTTTGTGCGAGAGAATAAAGACCTTTCCTGGGCTGAGGAGAAGCCTGGGCCGTGGGACCTGCTTCGCTGCTAAGGCTCGCCGGGGCCAGAAGCGCACCTCCGCTCTTGGTTCAGCATCCCTTCTGGCAGTACGATGACTGCACCGCTACCCTTCCCTTCAGTCGGGCGTGTCCCTCTACAGGAGGACTCGTCAAAAGTAGTTAAAAAATAGTGTGGGGATTATGTTCTGACTATTTTTGGCTATTTCGGAATATTTGTTAGTACTACATTAGTTGTCGTCCAAATTTTGCCTGCAGGAGGACATGCCCGACCTAACAGTACGATGACTGCCCCGCTACCCTTTCCTCGTTTTCGCTCTCTTGGGCCTGCTGGGATGCTCTCGTCGCCACCGCTGAGGGCCTGTCCTGAGATATCGGGACGGGAGGTTTTTGACCGTTTTGGGCTTCGGGGGCCCTCACCGGACCCTACGACCGTCGACAAAACTACCCAGGATGAAACATTGGTCCCAGGGAAGGGGTCAGACCTCGGGGAATGCAGCCTTGAAAATTATCCTGGCGAAGGACCCAACCATATGCAATTGTGAATACTGCAATTGTGAATATCTTCTCGGTGGAGCCCCCTACGGGGCCACGAAACGTACGAGGGGTGTGCCGAAATGGGTGTGCGGGACGCATGCGGGCACACCCACTGGGGCCTTCGGTGGAGCGGGCACCCTATAAAAAAAGTGTGAGGGGTGTGCCGAAATGGGTGTGCGGGACGCATGCGGGCGGGCACTACACTGGGACCTTCGGCGGAGCTCCCTATGGGGCCACGGAACGCGTGAGGGGCGTGCCGAAATGGGTGTGGCTGACGCATGCGGGCGCGGGCACTGGGGCCTTCGGCGGAGCTCCCTATGGGGCCACGAAGCGTGTGAGGGGTGTGCCGAAATGGGT